TTTCCCCTTATACCCCTACCGTACCCCTACCTACCATGTACTCACTAACCCTGATATCTGCAAGCAGTCTACCCTCTCAGTAAACATACTCATATATTTCACTCCTCCAAGACCTGCACCGGTTCTATCAATGGAACTTCAGTTTCCTTGCAGCCATGATGAGGCACCCAGGGTTATTATTATAAAGCCTGGACTGCAAAATTCAGACATTGTTCATGTAATCTAACACTGTCCGGATTGTGTAACAGGCCTGAAACTGGTCCGGATTCCAGAGAAACCAATTGATGTTGGACTGAAATCCAGACTGAATGAATGAAATACGGGTCCCGTAGACTTCAAATCTTGGCCTGGGATTGAAAGAAAATTGGAACTGTTTGCCAAATAATTAAAAAACCCTCTGTTGTGCGAGGATTAGTTATGGGGTGGCTGGTTAGCACTTGCTAAAAAAGGTAAAAATCAATAAGGCCCCCTTATGACTATAATGGAGGTATTGTAACTCCCTGTGCTCCCATCTGCCATGCGACTGGTGGGGGCATGTCTGCTGAATGTTTAAACTTACCAACTGGGTCGCCATTGCTGCCCAGTCACTGAAAAAGTCTCAATGGAATAACAGTGTATGCATCAGGTGGGCGCTACTTTTAATATTAATGCGGATGATCTAGTGCCCTTTCGACTCCCAGCCATCAGGGACAGATAGGGGCCCTAATAATAATATGGAGTGAGGACCTAGTGTGCTCTCTGGCCTAAATATAATTAATATGTTTATATAACTGGTGCAGGACTCAGCAGAATGAAGGAAAGGATTAGATCCAGCTTAATAAACTATATTGCAGTTTTGTTCTAACCATATTTTAATAGGTTCTCATGGCTTTTAAATACAACATATAGAGATGTTTTTTTGCATTTCCACTTTTTTTCCCAGGTTACAGATCCACATTAAGAACCCTTCCCCTGACATTGCATAGAGAGAGCTTTATTTAAGCACTTCCCCAGAAATTGTTCAGAGAGATCTTTATTTAGGAGCAATAAATGTAAAAGAGTGTAAAAGAGTGAGTTCAGGATCCATCCATCTATCCTGGGACTAGTTTGCTTTCTGTAACTTTGTTCACATACAGTTTATATTGTTAGTTGTCCAAGGAATTGAGAGAAAGGACTCTCTGTGTATGCGGCTCCTGTGATTCCCTATAGAAACACAAAGATCTTCACAATCCGCTTACTAGAATTGTCTGTCTTACATAATCTTCAATGTAACCGCGGCCACCACCATTGGCCAACAAACTAAACTTTGTCCACTTTACACAAACGGGCTCAGTTTGTCCTCTCCAGATGTTACAGGGGACCCCCCTGCATTGAGATATTCCCTCTCTGCTACCGGTCATTTAATATCAGAGTCAATCATTTAAGCTACGAATGAAACCCAAACTTTCGGAAATCGAGACACACATTTTGGGGGTAAAGATTCCTTCCTGACGTGTAATATTTTGTGATAAGCTTTGACATGGTTTAATATTTTTGGATAAACTTTAATACTGATATACTATATATATATATATATATATATATATATATATTATATTTTTGTGATATCTTAATGTTTTGAAAATAATCATTTTAAAAGTTTATCCCAAACTATTAAATTATTTTGAAAACAATATCGAATCGAGGTCTAGGCTTCGATTGATAACATTTGGATAAACTTTTAAAATGTCTTGAATATTATGAAAATATTTACATTTTGTAATATTTTTATATATTTATATATCATATTTATACACATTTTTATATAAGATATATTTAAAAAAATTATTTTAAAAGTTTATAAAAAAAAATTATAAATCATTTAAAAAGCAAATCCAAAATTTGTAAATTTAGGCCTTTAGGGGACACTTGTTAGTGTTAGAAATTCCAAGCACTATAGTGTCCCTCTGCTGCTGCCCCCTCCCTCTTCCTGGTCAAGTGGAAAGTTAAATAACACATTAAACACTTACCTAATTCCAGCGCTGGTCCCGGCTCCTTCTCCTCTGATGTCAGCTAATGAGTATGCGCGATTCAACCAACGCGTGCGCCTTAGGCCTTCCCCATCAGAAATGCTTTACAATGCTTTCCTATGGGGTTTTTCAAAACGCTGGACATCCTCATGCTTTGTCTATTGTTTCATGAAGTTAAACTCTGTAAAACAACAGGAAGCGCCTTGAGTGACTGTTAGGTAGACAACTACTAGAGGCAGTCTTAACCCTCTAAAACTGCCATGTTTTACATTGCTGGATTAGGGGAACAGGGACACTATATCTAGACCACTTCAATGAGATGTAATGGTCTCGGTGCCTATAGTTTCTGTAACGGAGCTCCCTGAACCTCTGTCTGGGTACCTCCTCCAAGGACCACTTCCTAGCTCGAACAGGGGACAAACATCAGCACTTCTGCATACAGTCACCGTGACTTGACTGGGGTTCTGGAACCGCTCCCTCCTGGAGCCGAATGGGGAACCTGCTCTAGCCACTCCCAGGCACTGGATGACACTCAGTCCTGGGAGCTCTAGTCCTTACAAGGACTTTCCCCGTTGAATCCTCCACACTGGAACAGTGATTCGTAATTAGCACTTTCCCCTCCCAGTAACCAGACGACACATAGTTCTGGGAGTACAAGATGGAATACCTGTAATCTGACCAGATTGCCTGCTTTTATACAACACAGACAAGCACGCCCATGACACTCCCACAGAAAACAGGATAATCCTTCCCCTATGCCTGGGAGATAATTGAGTCAGGAACTCTACAAAACTCAATTATCTCCAGGCACAAAAAACACACACATTTCACAAACACCCCAAAAGTACCTTTAAAAAAATCCCATTAGAAACTCCTAAAAGTTACATACCCTGATAGCCTCGGTTTGGGTGACCAACATATCCAAAAATCACCCAGATCGGTTCAGGGGTTCGGGAATATCCTAGAAGTTCTAATTTGACCGCCCGCATGGTCCCATGCCCAAAACAGTTCAATAAGATTAGGGCTATCGGTCTAGTTCAGCAGTTTAAAACCAAACAAACTACCGAACATAGTCAATATTCTTACCCTGGAGCTTGTTTCCCTTGTTTGTGGGAACGTTTCCACCAAACAGTGTCTTCCTAAGTGTTGTAGAACCGAACACAGGCGATCATGGAAGTCCAGCTGTGTTCGGGAGTTTCTGTGTCCTTTTTCAGTTCCATGAACTTGGTGACCAAACACCGCTGCCTGTGTTCGTGGGGACATGATGGTCGCCACCTCGTGGTGGAAATTGCTACAAAGTAGCAATTAGGTTTAACAAGCCCCAGGGTGGTCTCTGGTTCGTGCGGCTGTTCAGACACTTTTTCAGTGTATATTACAGGGCCCATAGTGTGTTGGCAGGAGGCTGGCAAGCAGGCTC